ATTGCATTGGAAATCCATCTCTTCTTGCCCTTGGATGGATGTACTTCCAATCTTTTATTTTTTGGAAATAATTCAGGTATGAATATGGAAGGAGGATCAGGAAACAGAACACACTAAAACTCCCTATTTTATTTACTACATAAATATGTACTATTAGCAGAATTTTCTATCTCTACACAGTTTAGTCTACCCTCAGTGGACAATTAACCATATTATAAGCAGCTAACTTAAGATGGAGACAAAAAGATGGTCTGATTGTTACTTTAGGACTAATGTTTGCCTATTTCTAGTAGACAGGATTTCAGTTTATCTAAAACTGTAGACAAGCCTTTCCTACCAACCAAATAATCTTCTGTTATTTACAAACAATTGCAGTTTGGAGTCCCATTTAGTTTGTTCGTGAAGACAAACAGGAAGGGAAAGATGTGAATTTCCTAAGACTCTGCATTATAAACAATCAACCCAGGAAAGGAAGCCGACCGCTGTGGTGGGGTTCTCTCTGGACCTTCACTTCTTCATTCTCTTCTTCTGTCATTAAAACAGAATGAAATTAATCTGATTAGTAGGAATTTCCCTTGTTGAAAGGTTATTTAAAAGTAGGCTGAAAACTCTGCAAAATGTTTTCTTCATGTAATAGCATAAACTGGAAATATCCAAGTCTCTGCCACCATTTCAAGTCTCTGTAACAACTCTGGTTGGTGGGGAAAGATCTGGAAAGATATAAGGATGAGATTAGCTGGGTATGTCTGACCTTGGAACTCAGGATAAGAAATAGATAGTACTATATAATGAACTTCAGCACCTCCAGGTTCAAGAAACCACAAGCAGTCTGCAGTAGACTCTCTTAATTCTCATTTTTCACTTAACTAAAAAGTCAGTAAAATCCTGAGCTTGACATATTGTCAGAAGATCTTTTAGTTTTCTCTAAGGTAAATTTCTCCTCTTGCTTTGTCTAATTTCTGCCAATCCCCTTTCTAGTTCCTAGACCTTTCTGCAGTGTGTTTCCTTTCTTTCCTTTTCCTGAGAACCTTGGCGTGGTTCTTGGGCCGAGTGTGGAGAGGAGCCAGCCGTGGGGAAGCTGACCCCAGCCACTGCTTCCGCGGTGGAGCTTCATGGAAGTTATTTCCCCTCCCAGTGCCTTGCTTTTGTCTCTCTAAATGGTACTTAACTGACAACTTCATGGGGTTGAGTGAAGATTAAGTGAGTTAATAAATTAAGTGTGTTTAGAAAGTTTTCTAGTACATAAGAAGTGTTATGTACACTTTAGCTACTCTCTTTATTTCCAGTGGAAGATTTGGTTTAGTTTTATCTGCATTTGTTCAATTTACACATTTATAAACCAGTCCTTTCGATACTATTTTTTTTTTTTTTTAATCCTCACCGGAGGATATATTTTTACTGACTGGTTGTCTCCCATGCACAGCCTAACCGAGGATGCAACCCACAAGTGTGTACCCTGCCTGGGAATCGAACCCATGGTGTACGGCATAACGCTCCAACCAACTGAGGCACCCAGGCAGGGCTCGAAGATACTCTAAATACTTAGAAGAGGTTTTTCTAGGTATTATTATTATTATTTTTCTGCCAACTGCCTGTACTAATGGCTTATTGGTCAAGAAACAGTTTCTGTAATAAACATTATTATTATTTTGTGTCCAAGAACCATTTTTCTTTAACTTTTAAATAACATCTGGTTTTCTTTTGGGGAATTGTCTCATAACCTTCAGGTACAATCTGTTAGTGAGCGTGTTTTCTTCTCCTCAGGCCTAATTGGGCATTCTGGGAATTCTGAGGATTTGAGTAGAAGGGAAAATTGACACATACATTAAAAATGGTTGAGAGGAAAGGTGGTTGGGGAACTGGGTGAAGAAGGTGAGAAGTACAGATTGATAGTTACAGAATAGTCATGAGGATGTAAAGTACAGCAGAGGGAATATAGTCAATAATACTGTTATCACTACGTATGGTGCCAGGTGAGTACTGGAAATACTGCGGGGGGCGGGGGTGGCACTTTGTAGAGTATATGTATGTCTAATCACTATGTGGTACGCCTGAAACTAATACAAAGTAATATTGAATGTAAACTGTAATTAAAAATAAAAATAGATGAGGCTCTATTTATTTCAGCTGCAGTGCACCTGGAGGAACTTCTCAAGCGGGTCCTCCTATCTTAGACTGTCTGAAAGCTACCCAAGTTTTCCTCTTAGTTCTCAGTGCTCTCCCTGTATCCATGGAACACATTATCTTCTTCTATGCTTGTGTCCAGAAAAAATTTCTTTTACTCAAAACTGATGAATCCTATTTGCTACAGACTTCTTCTCCCTGTGCACTCTCCACCCACACAGTGTGGGCCGGCCCCGGTGCTTGGCTCTGTGTTCTGTGTTTCCCCAGCAGGCTCTGCGATTTTCCTCCTTGCCACAGGGGCAGGTATATTTCATTCTGTTGCATCTGTCAGAAAGAATTGTTTCTTGAGTAGTATCTGAATTGAAAATGGTTTCTCAGTTGAGCAAAAATGATCAAAGCTATACTAGATTTGTTTAGAATGGCCTGCTTCATTTCCCCCAGCACTTCCTGAGGGTAGCTGCTTTGGTCTTTGCTCGCTGGTGAGTGGGTGTGTTCTGGTCATGGTCCATGCAACCGCACCATCTGGCTGATGCTTACTGGACCAGCAATGTGCACCTAGCCCAAGACAGCAAGTCCATGTTTCAGCAAGGCAGGAACTTAGGACTTGCACAAGGTGACTAGAAGAAATGTGAAGAGAGCCAATCAGATCCATCTCTGAGGAATTTAGAAGTGGGCAACAGACCTATCTAGGGCAGTTTACCTTAGGGGCATCACAATGACATATGAAATGTTGCTATGGTGCAGAAAGGGCTGAAGTCCTCCCTTGGAGACTTGTGCAAGCTGAAGCAGAAGGGACCTTGAAAGAGTGGCAGATGAATGAGGTAGTCTAGCAGAAAAAGGCAGAAATGCATGAAACCATGATCTCAACGGGGACACTGGGAGGCTTTGGTTTCTGGTGGTTTTCTTGGTACAGTTCTTGTGAAGCACTGCTGCCTTCAGATTTCTGGGATCTTTGTATATTCTTAAAATATTACATGCTACACTTTCCCCCTATGATCCATGAAGTGAAATGTTTCCTGCTCAAAGCAGATAGTATGACACTTCCGAAGTAACACCAATAATCCTACTCTTTGGCAGTAGGTGGTCAGGATTATTTTTCTTAAATAGCATAGAGAGTCTCTTGCTTTAAATTAAACTATTGGTTTTGCATTTGCCACCCATTCTTCTTAGATTGTTGCTTTATCATAAAGTCAAAGCAGTAGTGGTCTGGACCGAGATCCACCACACCTTTAGGCTGCACCTGTTGTCGGTGTGGTCCACTGAGTCTTGTGACTCATTCAGGAGCACCATGGTTCAGGCAGATGCTTAAAGTTGTTCAATTTTTCTCTTTAAAGGAAAAGATAAATTAGAATTTTCTGTGGAATTGGGACAGTTGCTTTGTTCAGATGTAATATAACTATCTCTACCCCCTTCTCTTCTGTAACTGCCAATTCCCCTTGACAAAGTATAGAAAATCTTTTAGGAGTTTCTTGAAATTATGCTGCTACAACAGTACAATGATTTTTACAAGCTCTGGCTGCTGAGGTAGCACTGAGTAGTCAGCACCGTGGAGTGTGAAGTCTTGTTTGGTTTGACCTCAGCCTTTATAACTCATGAGTTATTTAAAATGGTGATAATGGTAGTACCTGAGCAATGGCTAGGATATAGGATAATCTACTATTATAACAAAACCTCTTACTACAGAGTATGAAATGAATAGAAAATGGCCCTATAATCCTCACACATAGTTGCAACATGTGGGTCCCAGGTGATTGCTACAATTTTTACCCTCTCCATTTAGCAAAAAGGAGAAAAGGATGAGGAGGTCTTATGACAACTGTTTCACAGATATACCTGAGAATTGCTCATACATTACATCTTTACTCTTGCTGAAAGGTCACCTCCTTGCTTCAAAGATGTTGAAAAATATATATTTTTTTGGGTGAGCCCAGCTTCAAGACTGGGGAAAAGGAGAAGGATACCTAATAAGTATCTTTAGTTTTCTGCTGCAGTGCCTCACAAAGTTGCTGTGAGCTTTGCATTAGTTAATATAAATAAAGTATTTGCAAATGAGTTTAGACTCAGAAAATAGAGTAACAAATCATATATGGATTCCCAGTTACATGTCAATTTATTTCCAAAGCATTTGCATTGCATTTCTTTGGCAAGAAAACAGAAGCTTTTTCTAAAGAAATCATAAATACAATATAGCACATTATTTAATCCAGGGTTACTAAATCTTGATAGTATTGATATTTTGGGTTAGATGATTCTTTGTTGTAGGGGGCTATCCTGTGCCCTGTAGGGTGTTTAACAGGCTACGCCCAATAGATGTCAACAGCACACTTACTCATAGTTTCCATAACCAAAAAGGTCTCCAGACATTGTTAAATGTTCCATTCAGTGGGCTGCGGAAGGAAGAGTGGGCAAAACTGCTTTCATTTGAGAATCACTGCTCTAATCTCAACTCTGTCATTATTATTATTTTCAATGCATATGTTGATTTTAATCTGCCTTCTGAAAAAATTCAGAGTATCTTTACCATTTAGTCAATCAATAAAAAAAAATACTCATGACTGCGAATTAATGAGAATTGTCTAAAATTTTGCCATGTCAAGAGACATATTCTCACCCTGGCCTGGTAGCACAGTTGGTTAGAATGTCGTCTGGATACATCAAGGTTGTGAGTTCGATCTCTAGTCAGGGCACATACAAAAAGCAACCAATGAACTCATAAATAATTGGAATAACAAATCGTACTCTCTCTCTCTCTCTCTTTCTCTCTCTAAAATCAATCAATAATTTTTTTTTTTTTTAAAGAGACAAGCTCTCTTGGATTTTCTAGGGTTTTCCACTTGTTCATTGAGTTAAAAATAATCTTGGTTCTCTGTTTTCAGCTGATAAAAATAATTTTGGCCCCACCTAAATCTGTAACTGCATCTTCAACTTTTCAAGATTTCTCTACAATATATACCATAAAATGACCACCAGAGGGTGAATTTGTGTTCCTTAGAGATCCAGATGAAAGGGTGAAAGGTAAGTGGCTGGACTTCCCTACAGGGACCTTTGGGAAAATATTGTCTAAAAATGTCATAGAAAATTTCTCAAAGTAGTAACATACATTTTTCAAGCTGCCAATATGACTAAGGGACTGTGGATCCTCTCAGTGGACAGAAAACGTTGCAAAGCCTTATTGGTGTGTAGTGGGTTCTTTAGAAGAGTTAATGCATCCTCCCCACGATACTGTTCCAAATTATACCATGTGGGTGGAGCTGAGTTAAGACTAAGAATCACAAGCATCTTGTCTGCAAAATCCACATGAACTTATAAACATAATATATATTTTACTGAAATTATTACAATATCATTGCATGAAGCTTGAGAAACTCAGAAAAGTTCAAAGATAAAAATTCCTAAATTTCATTCCCCTCTCCCAATGAAATTTAGTAATTTATATATGAAACATTTGTTTTATTTTTTTATAGTTTATATTTTGATGAATGTTCTAGTGTCATCTTCTCCTTTCCTCTTTTTCCTTAGATAGAGATGCTTTCAAGTTATGCCATCATCAAATAATGATAATTTTATCATCTTTATCTATCTTTTTCTTACCTTATTATATTAACTGGAATTTCCAAAAACTGTTAATGTAGTGAATAATGTTAAACTAGTAATAATCTTGTTTTTGACTGTATTGGAAATATTTCTGTCATAATCAAATGTAAAAATAGCTATTATTATTATTTTAAATGGGATTTTAAAATATTAATTAATTAATTTATTTTTATTACAGATGTTTCTCCTTTTCCCCCCATTGACACCCTTCTCCCCCTCCCTCCACGCCTCATCCCCAGCTGTGTTGTCCATAACCATTGGTTATGCATACATGCGTATAAATTCGGTAGTTTATCTCTCCCTCCCTCTCACCCCCTCTTCTGGGGATTGTCAGTCTGTACCCCACTTCCACGTCTCTGGGACTACCCTGTTCTTCAGACTGTTATGTTCATTATATTCCCCAAATCAGTGAGATCATTTGATATTTGTCTTTCTCTGCTTGGCTTGTTTCGCTCAGGATAACACTTTCAAGGTCTCTCCATGTCGTCTCAAAGGATAAGAAATTTTTCTTTCTTACAGCTGCATAGTACTCCATTGTGTATAAATACCACAGCTTTTTTATCCATTCGTCTACTGATGGACATGGGCTGTTTCCAGATCTTAGCTACAATAGCTATTATTTAAGATAGATACTATTTCGTATCTGTTCTGTCTATGAGGTAATTATCTATCATTGATAATTGATTAAAGTTTTATAAGTAGATATTGAATCTAATTACATGTATTTTAATTTCAATTAACATTGCCTTATTTTTATCTTATTATTATTGTTTTTAATTGACTATTTTTTTTAGAGAATAAAGAAGGGAGAGAGAGAAAGAAAGAGAAAAACAACAATATGAGAGAGATACATTGATCAGTTGCTTCCTGCATATGCCTCAATAGGGAATCGAACCCACAACCTAGGTATGTGCCCTGACTGGGAATCAAATTTGATACCTTCCAGTGCACAGGATGATCCTTCAACCAAATGATCCAAACCAGCAAATACTATTTTTGATATAATAGATTATATCAGCAGATTTTCTAATAGTTTTCTATTGCTGGAGTTAACTATATTTGGCTACTGTGTGTTGTTATTCTAAGACAGCAGTGGATTCTATGGACTCTTTAAGATTTACTCTCTTTACGTATAATTTAGATTGGCTTATGGTCATATTTCAAGTGGCATATTTTTCAGAAGCCTGTCTAACAAGAAAACTTTTCATAGTTTAAAAATGGTCACAGATTAATATCATCCATTATCACTTAAATACTCTGATAAAATCCTACAGTCAGAAATTTGTTTTACTTAAGTTTAAAATTTTAAAGTTATGTTTAATTAGAAACTTTCAATTTTCCCAAGGCATATTTAGTACAATGTGAGCTAACTAGAATTCTGCAAAACACACTTTGGGGAAGATTTATTTGCTATTTTTCTTGTGGGGGATAACTTTAATGATACCAGGTTCTTCAAGGAAAGAAATGTGATGGTTTTACATATATTTTATATGTCTGAACGATTTAAATAGCACTGTAATTATTGATTCATTTAATTTACTGCTATATGTATGTGAGAAGAACAAACTTTTCTGTTGAACGTTTTTTTGAAAACATTGCAGGTACTTCATTGGTTATAGCTTTATTTAATTTTTCCAATATTTCTGAACAAATTCTGACCTATATCTTTCTTCAAAAATATTTTTTTTTGAAAATAATCTATTAACACAGAGCTTTATACAGATTCTTCTATAATTAAAAAAAAAAAAAACTCTTACAATTATATTCTTTTAAAGACCTTTGGCAAACTTGTCATTTATTTTTTTCTTAATCTTGTTAGAAGTTTGTCTATTTTATTAGTCTTTCTGATGAACCAGCTCTTAATTCTACTTTTCAATTCTACTATTATTCTGATCTATAATTTAATAACTTTGTCTTTGATTATTTTAAGATATTTTATTCTTACTTTCCTAATTTTAGTTGAATTCTGACTGCATTTTGATTGTCTTACTTATAAATGAAGGACTGAAGATTGTGCATTATAAGCACCCTTTGAAAATATCTCCATAATCAGGTGGTCTTCACATTTTGTTACTTTAAACTTGTCTAATTGCACTATTGTGGAATTAATTTTTCTTTGAAGCAGAGTTATTGGAAGTTCGTTTATTTTTTAATTTAGTGTGTATGTGTGTGTGTGTGTAGCAACATTTCTAAAAAAATAGAACTTTGGTCATAAAGTTCTGATTTTAATAAATTCAGTGGCCTTACATTTTATTTTTAGGTATAGTGGTCCAGCAGTGGGGAAAGCTGTCAGTGTGCCTTCTCATTTTTGTTTGATGTGATAACCATTTCAGTTTTAGAACACAAACCTCTACTTATTTCACCTCCAACTTACCCTTTTTAGGGACTTTATGATCAATAGCCCCATGTCCTGGTGATTTCAAGTACATAAGGAAATGGATAATAAACAAAAATTGAATGGTTCATTTTAAATCATTCTAATTATTGTAGCAGACTCTTAAAATTTTTCTATGACATAATTATCTATAAAAATGTGAATCTTTTGTATCTATTTCTTTACTTTTTTATTCTCATTTGTTTCACAAGTGCTTGGCATATTGTTTTCAAAGATAGCTAGAATTCCTCCTATCTCATCAGCCCCCTTAGTAATGTGACTTTATCACTCTTTTTATCAAGAGATCAATTTTATTTCCTTTCACCTTGATCCATGCTGGTCCCGTGATCTGCTATGACCCATGGAATGTAATAGATGTGACTTCTGCCCCTAAGTGTTAAGACATCTTGGGGCTTCCATTTTTCCTCTTGAAAAGATGCTCAACTGAGAATACCAAACTATAAGAATAGACTGAGACTACCAAGTGCAGACACATTATGTGGGAGTCACGGTACCGATACGTGAGTGCACTATCTTGGACCCTCCAGCTCCAGTCAAGCCCCTCCAGCCAATACTGTATGGAGCAAGAGAATCTTGCTTGAGTTCCTGATCTGCAGAATGGTGATTGTTTTTAGCCACTAAGGTTTGGAGTGGATTGTTAGGCAGCAATAGATTGCTAGAACTGTCTTTGCTTCCTCTTGATAGTATGTTGTCTTTTTAGGGTGCAAACCATGTCCAATACAATTTTTTGGGGTGTTTCTCTACAGAGCAATGTATGGATTGCACAGTAACTGTAACTAAGTTGATTGCACTTAATATACCTGCAAAAAATTTCTCAAGATCAGGTTGATAATATCCAGCGACTATTAGTGTGTTTTGGAAAAGCAGTTTTGTTATACAGTAATTTGACATTTTAATTCATGACCTCATGCAAGTCAATGGATTACATGAGGTCTTGGTGCTGTTCATTGAAGTCCCTGAGCACTTCCATCTCCAAAAAATTTTGTGAAACCACAATTCTGTGACCAGGCCCAGCTAAAGCCATTAATAAAATAGAGAATAAAAATAGGTAGGTATAAAGCATTGGAGGGAAAAATGAATGTAAGTTTAATCATGCCATACTTCAAGGTGGTTTAATTTATTTGTTCTGCATTGTGTATCTTGGCCTTCTGTTTTACAGTAAAGTAAGTAATATCAAATAAAGCACAAATAGATAGTATAGAAGTGACATTGTGACTCCTATACAACTCCCTAATCTCTGTAACTGAGAAAAATACCACACATTGAGGAAATAAGTATTAAATGACAGCTATAGAAAAATGTGTCATCAGTATACTAAATCAAACCTGTGGTCTTTTATCATGAACACAAAATAAAGGCTAACCTCTGAGTAAGGTATAATATTTTAAAGCAGATATGGGCATTGTTAAAGGTGTTACTGTTTTGCTTCCTCTCTCTCTCTTGTCTTCCCTTCCTTTTTTCCTTCCTTCCCCTCGTTTCTTCATTTCTTCTACTGAATGGGCTAATTATATATAAAAGAAAAACAATCTAAAGTGCCAAAATGAATTTTTGGTCTTGCTTCTTCAAGTAAATTTATTTTGATTGGTTGGAAATGACTTCCTATCTTACTGTTACCCCTGACATCTACGCATGGGAAGTTGCGTCTTTATTTATCTATTTTTATTTCTTCCATTAGTGTCTAAATAACAGCCACTTGTACTGAATTACTGCAGGGATTGTCTCTCTTTCAAAAAAAAGTCATTCATTAGGGCGCCTCACCTTTCCCAAGAGCCCTGTTCTCAGCTTCGTGGTGGCCGGCAGCCAGGGAAGCAATTTCCTTTTCTTCACAAGGGGTTGGAAAGCATCTGATTATATCGGGAAGAGGTATTTCAGTTTTCAAGGTGAAAGAACACTTGCTTCTTTTACAGATAATGGAAGAAATAAGATACAGTAGTGAAAGGCAGAGGGCACACCAATTAAAAATATCCAGGAAGGGGGTGATGTAGTCTGTCCACGTTATCTCAATGTAAATTAGCAGAGCCGGTTA